TATATATATAATTTAGTATAAAATATTGGGTTGTCCGGAAAGTTCGTGCCGATGTTGAAGGAAAATTTAAACGCAGAAAATTTTACATTTATTAAATTATATAGGTTAGTCGGCACGAACTTTCCGGATAACCCAATAGATTTATAAAAATTAGATTTTAATTAACAATGAAATACAAATTAAAATAAAAAAATTTCAAAGTAAAATTGTGTAGTAACTCGTTTTCTGTTTTGCGGGAACATTTAGGAAAAATTAAAAATCTTATAGATGTTTCAAATTTTTTTCTTTTTTATAACTGAAACAATAAGATTGAAGAAACATTTTGCCATAAAATATTTAAATTGTATTACATTAGATAAGTGGGGGACTTGTGTTCAATTCTTTCCATAATATAAATTTTCAAAGAATCAGCAATTAATTTAATTATAAATGCCATAAAAAGAAATGTGATTTATTCTTGTCTTCATTCAACAAACGAGAATGGATTAAAATGGATTGAAATTTTTTCCGAATGCGTATTTTATATAGCGAATATTTTTTTTTTAATTTAATTGGATTCAATTGGATTCAATTAAATTCAAAGATTAGATTAGATTGAAAAACTGCATTTCCTATTCAAAATTTTGAATTGAACAGTATTCACAGTGTGTGTTGTGCACAAAAAAAGCTAATGTTATTTTTAGATTGAAAAGCATAGAGATATGCTTCATGCAATTCCTATAAATGAATAAAAATGCATTCAGGATTTAAAAGCATTCATTTTAATATTCGTGAATCAATATTTAATATTTCTGATTTCTTGAAATCCATTTCAATCCATTCTCATTTGCTGGGAATTTAAATATTATTTATACTCGTTTTCAAGCACTTATTGAGATATTGATTAATATTTTTAATTTTTTTGTTTATATGTATAATCATAAGAAAGAAGACGGAGTAAAAAAGATGCTTTCTGAAATTTTCTTCAATCGTTATCTGTATTATATGTATACATTGATAATCGCGAATTTGTAATCGCTTTATTTTTATTAGATATAGCGTAATAATTATGAACTTTGGACTAATTCTTACAGGTATTCTGATTTTTATAAAAAATAGTCTTATTCCACGTGATATAAACATAGTAACTAAATGTACGTCTGTATATTTAATACAGTGCATTTATAGAATTTTTGAAAGTTGTACAATATTAATTATCAGTTTTAAAAACAATATCTTATAATAAACAATATTTATTAAAAATTTTACCAATTATGATGTAAAAGATTCAAATTAATTAAAAGTGTTAATCGAATAGCGTTTGAAAATAACAAATAATTAATTTCACATATTAGAAGAATTTGTTTTTTGTTGATTCTATTAGAGTGATTGATAAAAAATTTAATTGATTTTTTACACTTCTTATAATAAATATGTAGAATATAATTCTTATAATAAATATATAGATATTGAAAACTTTTTTATAAAAAAAAGAAAATAATAAAAGAAAATTTTTTAATATAAATTAATTCTTCTCGCTATTCGAGATCTAAATATGAAGAAGAATCAATTAATCATCTTTTAATAAAGATAATTTTCATTAAATAATTAAAAAATAATTTATATATGAGTCCAATATCCATATTTTATTCTGATATAAAAATTGAAATATTTTTTGTAAAATATTTTAATTACTAACGAAGAAAGTGTGAATATTATACAATATTTTATAATTTATTGATTTTTTGTAATAATTCTACTTTAACAATTACAGATCACAAAAATTTATATTAAAAAATCATATAATCTTTTAAAAAATGCAACCACTATTTTGAACCGATTCACTTCCGATTTATTTGAATTATTATCGATACATATTCTGTATTCTACGTTTAAACAAATATACTATAATTGTTTATCGTATTTGCTGCACTTACCAAATATATGCGGAATACAAAAAACTGCAAATGATAATTATAAATGACAACTACACGAATTTACTACAATATTCGCAAGGACTATAATACTTTCCCAATAATTTAAATTATTGAAATGTCAGAGCTACTATTTTTTTTATTACTAATTATTATATTTCACTAATTATTTTCTGCAAAACTACGATACGGAATAAAGTTTCGATGTTAGATTGCGTCAAACTGCATTCTACTGTGTGACTTATCTGCTTTTATACAGTAATTGAATTAGTCATCATCAGTGAATAAACTTCACAGAGATGGCGTTGTTACAACAATACAAGTGCTTTTCAGCAAGGGCCCAATCATACAATTTGCTTACATTAAACAAGAATAAAACGATTCACTGTGTTATACAGTGATTCTTGCTGGAAAGCACCTGGTAATCCTATCCCTAAAGAGTCTCTAAATACGTAACATGTAGTAAAAAGAATTAATTCGGAAAATTGATAAAGTGAATAAAATTTAATGAAATATAATACATAAAATATAATAACATAAAATTCGATAAAATTTGACTTCTCTTAAAAAAAGATGTCTTCCAAAAGGATCTTTTCAAAGGATATTTCCAAAATGAATCTTAAGTTCTTAAAAAAATTTGTATTATATTTCAACAAAATTGTAAAAGATTTACAAATTGATGTAACATACATTTTTTTAATATGGATTTTCTTTTCATGAAAATACAGTTCCTCTATCATAAAAGAAAATATATGACAAAATAATAAGAACAATTGTTTCGAAATTATTCACTATTTAAGTATTTTCGATATGTATACTACAAAGAAAATTTTTAACTTTTTTTGTTTTATTTTCCCTAATTTCTTTTTACAATTTTTTATCTATTTTTTTTATCTATTTCTTTTGTTTCTTCCAAATGAAAACATATAACAATAATAAAAAGAATAAGAAAGAATAATTAAACAGTTAAGTCTACCTTTTCTTCGTTTTTACTGTTATTTGATACAATTTTTTTTCCATATCTTTGTATTTGCGGTTTATATATATTTTGTTCTTTTTCTAATTACTACTATTCTGATAAACTATCGCCTTATCTTTATTATTGATAGAAAGACTATATATTATATATTATCCATTTTATTTTTATTATATCGCAAAGACAAACTATCAATTCTGGGAATTTTTGTTTCCCTGAACTCGGAGAATTTTTTCGAGAATAGTCATCAATTTCCTGCACATCGCCTCACTGATAACAGCTTGATCTTCTAAAACCTTCATAAATCCTTTGTACAACATCTCTGCTTGTTCGTCCAACTGTATTAACATTGGCACGATGGTTTCATGCGAGTTTTTCTCCTCCTCCAGCTTCAGCATCTTATCTTTTCTCTCGAATTCCTTATATTTATTTATCATTATTAGAATTTCCTATTTCGTATTTCGTTATATTATTTATATATTTGTATATAGTGTCCATATTATTTATATAAAGTTTCATCTTGATTTTTTAATATAATTATGCTCAAAACACACACATACTATTGGTTGTCAAAAAAAAATATTAAATTAAAATTTTGTTCTAGAAGTTATAGCTTATGATGACACAATTTCATTTAGGCACAAAATACAAAATGAACTCACATTACAGATCATTATAGATGATTGGATCTGTTTGTGCACAAGATAAAAATTTAAATTAAAAAATAAAAACTTTAAAATAAATAATTATGTTTCATTTTTTATTTCAAATTTTTTTCATACTTACGTTGTATTCATAGCATCTGTGCTCATCGCCATGATTTTGAACAGCTTTAGTCAAATATCTAAGATAATCTTGTATGTTTGTAAAACCCTTGAAAACATAATATGGTCTCAATGACAAGTAAGCTTGCATAATATCGCTGATACAGGGTATCTTTGCTAAAGCCTTCGCAATTTCGGCGACTAGCTGCTCCAAACACATATGTCCCACGTGCTCAAAAGTCTCCAGAGCTTCTTGACATACCCAAGGATCTTCATCTTCTAGTAAATGACTGAACAATTCAATCAAAGTAGACGTAATGTTTTGGACACTACAACGACCGAGATTCTCGACATTTTGTCGCAGAAAATGACAGATCTTGATCTTGCCTTGAGGTGGTAGATGGATGCATGAAGTTGTGACAGATGTAAGAACCTAAAATCAAACAAACATATACATGAAATATTATATTCCAATATTCTTGTAATTTCTGCTGTTATCAAAAAAATATTTCTATCAATAAATAATTAGATAGATAAAACATATTTGTGTTATATTATACCGTACAAAAGCTGTGTTATATTATACCGTACAAAAGCTGTCATCATGAAGATATTTGAGACAAGTAGCATTCAACAAGATAACAACTAAATCAGACAATAAATAAAGTTGTTTGTCCTCGCATTCGATAATCGCATTTGCAACAGAACACCATATTTTAGTTAGAATGTTGATAACATCCCTGTTATCACTGTAACTCACTGCTGTCATGACGGACATGACCTGCATCTAAAAATCAATATAAATTTATTATAAAATTTTTTAATAAATTATAATTATATTCATTATAAAATTATATAATTATCAAAATCTTGTAGCAATTCATTCAAATTCATTCAAATTATATAATTATCAATTTCTTGTAGCAAAAGCAAGCGAACAAATTTATTGATGTATCTAATATATCGTCTTACAAGCCGTTTCCAATTACAAGTAGAAGGATGTGTATGCAAATCTAAGAATGCCTTCGGTAAATCCTCAATTTTACGCTTTAATCGTTCCGATGAAAGAGATTTAGTTTTTGCCATTAATAAATATAGGATAGAAGCATAATAATCTGTATCCAAGTTGATAAGGTTATCAAATAAAATGGATTTCATGTCTTCGTTCAGTAAATCGTACAATCTGATGATCATGTTATCTAGCATAATTGCTTCTATGCTATCATGCCGTTCTACCAAGGCGGCAGAAACTTTAATCAGATGTTTAATATGATCGACGCACAATTGTGAAGAGCCGAGTCTTAAATAAATAATTATATATAAGAAATTAGATTTTTGATTAGTTTATTTTCACTCAATATCAATTAATGTATATAATATAGAAGTCTATATACTGAGAAAAAAATTATTTTTACTAAATTTTTTCTCAGTGCAGAAATCTATATATGGTACAGAAATCTGTATATAATACAAAAGTTTATTGAAGTCTGAGGTTTGACTGCTTACCTGCCAATGAAACACCAAATATCCGAGCTTAATAGGGAACTCCAAAAATTACCGGATAGTAAATGCTTCAGTAGAAGTAGTTCAAGCGCATGAAAGCCTTCCGGGGGAATTTGACTAGTCAAATTGCAAACGGATACCAGAGTCGCCTCGTAAATGCTAACGAAACGTATCCGTTCGCCAATTCCGCAAACGCCTGGCAATCGCAGATCTTCAACGCAGATTTCTTCTTCAATTACAATCAAGAAAGAGTGAACGAATGAACGATTGAAACAAATTTAATGTTTACTTCATTAATGTTGTTGAACAGTAAAAGAATTAATAAAGTGCAATTAAAGTCCAGCGAGAAATAATTGTCAATTAGATAACAAATCAAAGTCTAATTGATTAATCGGTCCAATTGATGTCGAAATTATCGGATTGATGTTGATTCAACAGTAATTCGATTAGTCATTTTTCACTAAGAAGTGCGGTTATACTATAATTAACATAATGTGCGTGTAATTCATTATATTTTCTCTCACTTTCTCTCTCTCTCTCTCTCTCTCTCTCTCTCTCTCTCTCTCTCTCTCTCTTTAAAACTTTAAATTTCTTAAAATTAATTTTTAAAATTATTAAAAATCTTAAAATTCTATAAAATGTTTAAAGTCCTTCGTACAATTAGAATTGTTAAAATTTTTATAATTTTTTTTTCTTTTTCTTACTTACGGTAATCTATAAATGTGAAAGCAACATCCAAAATAGAATCTGAGTCTAAAGACCATTTACAATGGTATTCATATGGCATGCTATTCAGTTTCTTCATGATAGCAATTGTCAATAAATGATAATTTAATCTACGTACATACTGATCACGTGGAAAAATTTGCTTTCCGTATTCAAAATATATCTGAAACACAAAGTATCATTATATATCATTTCTCGTTAAAATCAATTTTTGCTTCTTATTACAAAAGAAAATGTGAAAATAATATATAAAATAATACATAAATCTATTTCTCTTTTTCCCTCTCTCTTTTCAAAACATTTTTATCAGTTGTACAGATAATTCGGCAAATAATGACAAGATAATTCTTCAATCGTTAAATATAATACATTTACAAATTCGTCACACATTTTGTATAAATTATTTTATATTTTATGCAAATTTATACCAATATTTATAAAGAATTAGAAACGGAATTGTTTATAATAATGGTAAAATAATTGCATTACATGATTTACCTTATTTCTTTAATGCCTCTTTGTGTATATGTAATCACATACCTGTTTGAAATCGTTATGACTAAAAATGATATTTAAAAAAGATGTAGCGCTGGCCAAGATTGTTTTTTCGCTACCTTTTGTTAAGCAGCAGTATCTGTAAAAGAAGAAATCATTTCCTGAATATTATTTGTTCATAATCTCTATAATGTTATAAAATATATAACTCCACGAGTAATAATTTTATGTAAATAGAAAGAAATTCTTGCAATCGTTAAAGCTAATTTTTATTTGAAAAATTGATGATTAATAATAAAATTGTCACCCGTGCATTCGTGTCAAAAGTTCTATTAAATGTAATATCATCTCATGCGAGAAAAAGACACCATAAGATGATGTTAATTTCTCGAGGATTCTCAGCAAACGCATAGCAACCATTACATTTCGTTCTGCACTCTTATCATTCTGATCCTGTATCATTGCAATGTACATTTATAATTATTACTAATGTATAAAGACATAATATTTCGTTAATTTAATTAATAATTAATTAATCATTAATTATTTAATTAATAAATAACAATAAAAGTGTACGAATTATATAATTTAGTTCAAATACCTCGATGACGGAAAAAAGACAAGACGTATCCTTGGCCATTCGAATGAGATATGT